CAATTTTTTAGTATTATTGTCGTAGTGAAGTTCAGTACGAAAATAGTTCAATTTTATTAGGATATATAGGTAGATCATGTGCAAATTACTAAAATATGAAGATCCGCTGATGTAATCTAAGGTGACGTTTGGTAGAGAAAATATTTTTTTTATCAGGGAATCATAATTAATGGGAATATGGTAGGAAAGTAAGTTTGATAGAAAAATTTAAAAAAAATTGTTTGGTTGACCGAAATATTACTAGAAAAATTTATTTAAATTTGCAAAGTTTATGTTTGATTAAATGTAAAATAGTTATGGGAAAATAGGTTAAATTGACAAAAACACCCCATTATAATTTTTTTAAAAGAACCATTAAAAGTGAGTCTCTTTTAACATATCATATAAACTTTTACTTATCGATACTAATCAATGCAAATTTGTCGCTACCATCCCTCCTTCTCCATGTGCTAGTTTTTTTTATCACTTTTTACAAAATTAAAACAACCATATTTTGGCCAACAAAGGTGGACACAGTTGGCTAAGAGTTTGGTCCATACCCCTCAAGGGCGTGGGTTCAAACCTCGCTGGTTGATGTGAGGACTTTGTTGGTGGGTGATATGTAATCCCTCCCAGAAATCCTCAAAGAGGTTGGGGGGTCTTCCCTGACTCTAATGGGATACCGGTGTCTAATCCCACTTAAATGTTTTCTCTATACAAAAAAAAAACAACAACCATATTTTGCTATTTTGCTTTGTTTGAACTTAAAGTGCCCCTCCTTAAAAATTGTGAAGACCACATCTTATCTCTTCCAACTCTCAAGATTTTCACAACACTAGATAATATTGATATTATTTTATTTTCTTCTTTGCATATAAACGGATCAAAATGCCGAGAGCTGCGGACGAGAGCTCACTTTAAATGCATGAGGGTCAAATTGGTCCATAACTTTTTCTCCATTTTTTCATTTCCTCGTTTATGTCAAAATATCATATCTCAAATGGGTTTTTGGAACAGTAGTAATCACCCAAAATCAACACAAAAAAGTTTCCTATGCTTCCTAATCTTCTAGTATTTTTTTTTACAAACTTGTACTAATTAAACATGATATTTCTCAATATCCACTCTCACTTCTCCATCAAACTCAAAATAAAACTTATACCAAACATGTCATAATAAAAATGAATTACCGTGATACTGACTTCAGCTAGCACTTACAATTTTTTTCCTTTTGTTGGTGGTTCCACCAATGTACTTACCAACATCTGCCTCCGTGCAAACCGGAAAGTTTTAGCCACGGGCTGAAATTCTTTTTTTTTTTTTATAGCCATGAAAAAGATAAATCATAAGAAAAAGATAAATCATAAGAAAAAGATAGTGGATCAAAAAAAGTAAAGATGTGAATCTCATTTCTTTTTTAGAGTAAAATGACACAAGTTATGTAATTTAAAAGGACAAATATTTTTTCTTATTGTATATATGGAATTTGCATCTACATGCAATAGGAAAAAAAAAGAATTTCCAACACACACAATATTTTATGAGCTCCACATTTTCTGAAGGAAAAAAAAAACTTAAGGCACGAAATACGAATCTCTATAACATGACTACTCTACTTTTTCTACAACATAATTCTTATAAAATCATATATATATATATATATATATATATATATATATATATATATATATATATCATTCATTATTGTTCATGAATTATTTATGATGCATCACAGTTTGTCATCATATATAGTTGATTTCCCCCCATATCTTTCTACGCTTAAATATAAACAAATTCTCACAAGTCTAATGATTTACTTTCAACTTTCTTAAGTACAGTCAAACCTATTATAAAAACCGCACTGCTTCCATTGCGAATTCGAATGTGCACTATAATTAAAAATTCAAAATTAGATAGATTGAGGGTTTCTAGAAACGTCAAAACAAGTAAGCGAAGACTGTTATCTAGTAATTATTTTCAAACTTCACTCCTTTGTCCACATATGATATAAATAAATGACTCATAATTTTTAAATATCATTCATATAAAACGTGATAATAAATAAACTGCTAAAAAATTTATTAACAGCATTTAATAATAATATCAGAAAGTCATGAGTAAAGTCACCCTTGTTGAGCAATCTTAAAATACTTAGATATTGTCTTCACAATTAAAGTTTTTTGTTTATTTAACAAATTAACATTGCTTTCAATTATGAAATATATAAACAAATCTTTTTTTCTGTTAAAGAAAAGGAAGATTTACGAAAACAAAATCTAAATATTTGATTACATATGCGCTTTTCTAATATTTTGAGATGTTCGTGTTAGCTATATAGATTTTTTTTTATAAATCATAAATATTCTAGGAGACAATTATTTTCGAGTCAAGAACATTCACATCATGGTGGGACTATTTCTCTCTCAAAGAAATATTTTTGTATTTACAAGGATTTGAATCTAAAATCTTACTTAAGCATAATTAAGCATGTACAACTTGAACTAACTTCTTTCATAATATATATTTTTTTGTTATAAAAAGATTGTATAGATATCCATAACCGAGTAAATTTTTTTGAAATGGTTAAAAGATACAGAAGGAAAAGACATGCTATATATATATAATAGTCACCCCTCTAATACAATAGTTGTTCTGTTAATATATAAAATCTGGAAGAAAATATTAAGTCCATTGATGAAAGAAAACGCGCGGGTGAGACTATGGTCAGTGATTAGAGGTGTAAATAGGCTAGGTTAGGTTAGACTTTAACTTAAATAGGTCAAATTTGTGTAAAAATTATTGGGTCTGACCTGGCCTGTTAGTCTGTGTAGGTGCCAAATTACAATTCTGGCATGACTTGTATTTAAAAAGTAAAAGTCTTGGCCTAAGTCTGTTGGCCTGTTTAAGCTTAATAAACATCCAACAATTAAAAAAACAATTAAAATAATATTATTTTATTATTTAAAATTATTAAAATAATATTTTTATTTATTTTATTTAATATAAATAATATCATGTAGGCCGGCCTGTAGGCTTATAGGCCCGACATGTACAAAAAAAGCCTATGGCTTATTTTCTAAATAAATTTTTTTAAAAGTCTAGACCTGTTCTGTTTTCTTATTTATAATAGATCAAATCTGACTTAATATAGGCTAAGTCATAGATCTCTATGAGCTGACCTAATCCATTTATATTCCTATCATTGCTTCTTCCTAACCAGTGCAACAGAGGTAAGTTTTCTTAGAATGCATATGATTTAATTATTGTTTTGCTGTTGACGCTTTTTCAGTGTCTCCAAATCATAAATACTAATTATTAAATTAAAGCTAAGCTTGATCTGTGCTTGAACGTTGAAAAGTCACCCCTCTAATCTCTTCCTCGGTCTTTTTTTATTGCATAATTAAACAACAAAGATATCAAGGAATATTTAGTTGAAAAAACCTCTCGCTAACACATTAAAGAATTAAATAAATAAAAAATCAACACAAAAGTGATTGAATGAAAAAGGTAAGAACTGAACTAGTCAGTTTAGGAAATTATGATATTTATATAGGAGCGACTCTCCAATACCATTTTTTTTATTTTCAAAACATAACGAGGAACAAACTTTTTGTAACATGAGTTAATTATTGTTAATGACCAGTATTCTCTTTATTTTAGTTGTTGTTGGTAAAATTAACAGACAAAATTTATTTTGAGAAAATATTGTTAATTCTATTTTATTTTTATTTTTTAAAAAAACTTTCTGAATACAGCAAATTAAGAGTGCTAAATTGCTAATTTTAAGCACTTGAGTGGCAAGTCTCCTTTAAAAATCAGAATAGCTAAGTTCGTCCTTCATTCCAATACGTCATCATTAATTAAGTTAGAGGCTATAATTGAAACATGAGATACAAATCAACTAATCAAGTATCTTCATGTGTCATTGTGTGAGAGTTAGAAGAGTGCAAAATGCTGAGTAGTTTCGTCTCCATTATTACCACACATGGGTGCTCACACTTCAATCTTACTCAGATTCACTCTTGTGGTGAGGATATGATCATATTAAGAAACTTTCAAATATTTTTCTTCTTCTTTCTACAAGCCTAAACCAAGCCCGAGAAAAATTCATTATTTGGAATTATAGCTTGAAGAAAGGAAGAATGAGCAAAAATACCAACACCTCAGCATACTTTTTTTTTTTTTTTTTGGTAAACACACCTCAGCATACTTTTGTTACCGATGCTGTATGGACTATTTATAGATCCTAGAAAACCCACTCTCCCACTTCTTAGTTCTTACGAACTAGTTTAGTGAATTTTCTTGTCATTTTCAGAGCTCCCCTTCCAAAAATCTCTGCATTCTCTTACAAATATTACCATGCAAAAATCATTAGGTTTAAAGCAAGCAATATAGTTGTAGTAATAGTCACCAATTTTAACAAATTAAACCTCTTCCCCTGTTGAGAATTACAATTGTTTAATTCAATTTGTGATTTTAATTGATTTTATGATCAACCTTCCACTTCAATAATCGTTATTCGTATAAATAATGAAATAAATTACAAACCATCTTTGCTCCCAATGATAAGATTTCCTCTAGAAGAGGTCTTGGGATCTCGATTTTGAGTCTAAGAAACTCAAAATAAGTGAGTCTAAGAAACTCAAAATAAGTGAGTCTAACACCACATCTTAATCCACAACTTTAATAAGGTGCTAGGTTTATGGATCTTTTCATTTGTATGTTCAATGCTTGAATTGCCAAATAAGTAGTTAGATAAAAAAAAAAAGATAAATAAATAAATAAAAAAATCACTCACTTTTATATGTGATTATGCATATTCGGATCTCAAGAATGTGAGTTAAATAGCATTATTGATCAATCATTGATTTCTTATGTATTCTTGATCATTATCATTATGAAGGAAAATATATTTTCATATCACAAAGAAAAAAAGTGAGGAAAATTACAAATTATCGTCTCACTACAGCAATCCGACAATAATGAAAGACAACACATTTCATATATATCATCATTCCATGTTATTGCCAAGTGTCCATATAAAATTGCCACATATTTGACTCATCCAGCTCCAAAGCCGCCACAGAGTCATGCTTACTACGCTTCTCAGCCACCGCAGATGGCGAGGGTAATTCCGGCGAGCGCCGCTTAAGCGTGACCCTAACCGGCTCAGCATCACCGGAACCAATTAAATGAGGAAAATTTAACTTGGCTTTGGGGCCGCGCATTTTAAACGCGGCTCGATCATAAGCCAAAGCCGCATCCTCAGCTGACTCGTAAGTTCCAAGCCATACCCTTGCGCCGTTTCTCTTTGGATCCCTTATCTCTGCCGCATACTTCCCCCATGGCCTTCTTCGTACTCCTCTGTAACCCGGAGCGTGAGCTACACGCGCCTCCGCAATATCAAGATTCTGGCTTTCATTTTCCATTTTCACCTCCACATCAACGTTGTTCACCTTACTGTTAGTTGCGGGGAACCATCCGTTGCTTGCAGCCTCAAGCAAAGCGCCATAGATAACCATGTCATCGGCATCATCCTCCTTCAACGGCAGCTCCGCCCAGTTCTCCGCCAAGAAAATGTTTTGGAGGCTCGAACTCCCGGAGATTGCCGCCGTCGCCGGAGCTGGAGGGTCCTGAAACGCGGTCGTGATAGATGGTTTAATGTGATCGAGGACATTCACATTGGTGTCATTTGCGTTTGTAATGTTCATGATTCCGTACAAGTTTGATGTTTAGGTTTTAGTTTTCTTTCTATCTTCCTTTGTGACTTTGTGAGTGTTCTATATTTGGATGATGCTCTTATATATACGTCAAGAGAAAAAGCATTTATATAATATTCAAATTTTTTAACATTGATTTTTGTTGGTTCCATGAAAGTTCTTAATTCACCATGTGCTATAATGCTTTTTGATTTCAAAACACAACAAAAAGTTGCTGATTAGGTTGGATGTCCATATATACTTTTCATTTTATTTTATTCTATTCTATTTCTCTGTTTGAAAGTGACGTACGTCGACGTCATGTTTCTTTGAAGCAGAGAATGTTATGTTAAATTGGACTTATGTATAATATTGTGTAATGCACACGTGCTTATGTGATTATATATATCCATATAAATAATATTTTGTCCTTGAGTTATTTATAAAGCAAGCATCATAGTTGATTTTTTAGCCCCCGAACTTACTTTCTACGCTAAAATGTTAACAAATTCTCATATGTCTAATGCATTTACTTTCAACCTTTTGAATTACGTACAGTCAAACCTATGATTAGAATCAAATTGCTTCCATTGTGAATTCGGATGTGCCCTATATATAATTAAAAATTTAACACTAGATGGGTTGAGTGTTAACAAAACTAAGTTCAAAACAAGTAAGCGAAATGGTTTGAATAGTTTGTTATCTAGTAATTATTTTCAATCTTCACTATTTTGTCCACAACACACACATATATATATATATGGGTAAACAACTTCTCCTTTCACAGAAGAAGTTTTTTTTTGCAGCTGAGATAATTTTTTGATGGGACCCATTGATTGTTTTGAAAGAAACAAAATAAAAAGCATATCATACATTTCAATGCTTTGGACATGAGTGCTGCACCAAAAAAACTTCTCCTTTGAAAGGAGAAGTTGTTTACCATATATATATATATATATATATATATATAAAGGAGTAGGATTCTTTTACATTAGTGTCAAATTTAAAGTTTGACATCTTATCTGAGAGTCGTTAGATCAAAAAAGATCAATGATGTCACATGCTTACAAATAAGAGTTATTAATCTTTTTTGATCTAACGGCTCTCAGATGAGGTATCAAATTTTGAATTTGATACTGATGTCAAAGGATCCTACCCCCCCCCCCACACACACACACACACACACACACATATATAGGGTAGGAACCTTGACACTGGTGTCAAATTTTGAAATTTGACACCAAATTCTGTCATTTGATTTCCGTCAATCAACTATTATCATTTATTGAGAATCAAACTTATTAATTAATACTAATTTCTTATAAATGATAATCATTGATTGATGAAAATCAACTGATAAAATTTAGTGTCAAATTTTAAAATTTGACACTGGTATCAAAAGATCTTGCCCTATATATATATATTTAGACACACACACATAAATGGTTTCTAATTTTTGAATATAATTGTGAAACGATTGAAAGATACAAGGAAAAAGTAATTTATACCGAGAAAAAGAAATGCTATGTATATAATACGATAGTTGTTTTGTTAAAATAAAATTTTGAATAAAATATTAAGTCTAGTGATGAAAGAAAACGTGGTGTGAGACTATGGTCAGAGCTTCTTCTTAAGCATGCATATGATTTAATTATTCTTTTTCTGTTGACGTTTTTAGTGTCTCCAAATCAGAAATACTATTTACTAAAGCTAAGCTTTTGGTCGTGAACGTTGAAAGTCACCCCTCTAAAGTCATCCTCGGTCTTTTTTTATTTCTTGATTAAACAACAAAGATTGTAACGAATTTGTTGAAAAAACCTCTGGTTAATACATTAAAGAAATAAAAAAAACCAACACTAAATTGATTGAAAGACTAAGGTTAACAATCCCAGAAAGGAAACAAACATAGACATAAACAACAAGAAGACTGGGTATCTTACCAAATTCAGAGCATTGATCTCTTTACTTTAATGATATAGTTGTAGTCACTATTTACTGATTTCAGAAAACCTCTTAACGAGCATCATTTTCCAAAACAAATAACACATGTGCTACATATTTCATATTATTGCAACATAGTGTCTTCGGAAAATTGACATATTTGAGCCATCCAGCTCCAAAGCCACTGCAGAGCCATTTTAACTAGCGGATGGCAAGGGCAGCTCAGGCAAGAGCCGCTTGATCAGCATGAGCTTAACCGGCTCAGCATCACCTGAGTGAATCGAATAAGGAAAATTCAGCTCGGCTTTTGAGCCTCGCAGCTTAAACGCGGCTTGATCATAAGCCAAAGTTGCATCCTTGGCTGATTCATAAGTCCCAAGCCATACCCTTGCGCCATTTTTCTTAGGGTCTCTTATCTCTGCCGCATACTTCTCCCATGGTCTTCTTCGGACACCTCCGTAGATCGGCGCGTGAACTCCACGCGCCTCTCTAGCATTACTGTTTTGACACTCATTTTCCATTTTTGCAGCTGCATCAACGTTGTTCATTCCATTGCTCGAGCTCCGAGAGAGAACGACGGAGCGTCCTGAAACATCGTCGTCACGGAAGGTTCAAATTCAAAGTTATTGATTACTTTCACATTGGTGTTGGAAGCATGAGTGTTCATTATTCCGTACAATTTTGATGTTTCGCAACTCTCGTAGGTTGTTCCTTTGTGACTCTGAATGTATATTTTGATAGAGAGTGAAGGTTATTGTCATTTGTACTAAGTTGTTCCGCCTAAAAATCAAATCAGAAATCTTTTAGTCCCGATAACAACCTGTTTATTAACTATGTCATCTAGCAGGGTTGATCAATGATTTAATAAATATTTCTTTGTTAATTAAATAAATTTATTTTTAAATTTTTCTTCTTTATTGAGAGAAAATCCTTGCCAAAAGGAGGCAAGGGTACAAGTGGAGAAGCTATGTCCTTTCTTTGTATCTTGGATATATAGTTGGATAGATAAGCTGATATACATCTATATGTATCATGCTCGAATATATAATTAAGTTGCTATATATGATATGGTTTTTAATGTAATTAGATGTTAGGTCAAGGAAGCTAAAAATTGTTGTCTGATGAAGTGGTAGAAAAAGTTGCTTGATTCATTAGTTGTCAACCTGAAAGATGGAAACTTTTAATGGGAAAGGAAACAGTGGCCTTAGATGAATACTTATAGTTATGCGTTTACACAACAACTCACAGAAGTTTAAGCGCTTATAAAAGTTTAATAAATAAAGTAATTTTAATAGGCTCAACAAAAAATATATTCCACGAAATATAGAATTTAATCAATTTAAGTATCAACAAACAGGTTACTAATTAGTTCATATACGTATGATTAAACAATCCACCATACCGATGCGAATTGGGTTAATTGGTTTAATTTTTACGTTACCCTTTAAGATCCCATGCATGTTATTGTGAACACACGATTTATATTTTGAATATTAATTGTTTAATATTAGCAAATTCATTTCATTTTATTGATTAAGAATATCGAAATAAAGTAAAAATAAGTGTATACAATTTCAAGAACTCAGATTGAAAAATAAATACTTTATTCCTCAATGTAAGAATGGAAAAATTAATGTTTACATCTAGAAACGATTAGTCATTTTTTACATTATTGACTTAATTGGTACAAGATTTAATTTGTTGAACTAATGACAAAAAAAAAGCTCCTACTTTTTGTGAGCATAAAGTAGTGACACTAACATGTTTTTTTTTCTTGTGAACATGGGAACAGAATTGTTTTGCAGAATTATAAGGCTTGCACGAGGCTGTTTGCACAGAATTTCAAAAGAGAAAGATTCCTTTCTTTGAAAGAATGTTAATGTAAAATGGTCAAGCATTATAAGTGTTTTAAATATAAAGGCAAACGGAAAAAGAATTGATTAATAAACCACGACGAGCAACCATATATACCTTCGGTTGAAATATGCTATTTTTAATTCCCATGCACCTTCATCTTAAATATGTACTAGAAAATTATTATTAGTGCTTCTAGAGTTTCAGACGACATTGATTGTAATGGGCCCTTTTGTAAACAATGATCCAGAGCCTTGTACGTTTTATTTAAAAGTGGTTAAATAATATATAAATCAAGCACGTGAATATATACTTTCATTATCAAATAGACCCTAAAATTTGACCTACTTAAAGGGTAAAATAAAAATAAAAAATTCAACCTTCAGTCTTAGACACCTTTTACATTAAACTAAAGATTTAGTTTTCATAATGTTAGATGAGATAATTTTATTTCTTACAATTTCAAAATGATGTTGTTTGGTTGTTTGGAGAATATAAACTAAGAGCATTTTGAAAAAATTCATGTTGCAAGAGAAAATAAAATTTCCAAAATCACTTCATTTTTTTTCAATTTCAAAATGACATCATTTTAGGTTAAAGAAAATAATTTTATTTCGTGTTACATAAAAAATACTTTTCCCTTCAAACAAAAACATAAAATTAGAAAAATCTCAACGAAATTTAAAAAATGCCTAAACACCAATAAAAACAACTTCCAAATGCAGAAAAACGCCAAATGTTTTGGATGTAACCTACTAGGAAAATTGTGGATGCAAGAACCAAAAACCCATAGAAGAAGAGAAGAAACTATAAGATTAATGTTTGACAACACTACAAAAAATACAGAGTTTTGCCACGGTTAAAAATGAGGCAAACGATGAATAAACCCGTGGCTAAACGAATTGGCCACGTTTCCACAACCCGTGCGCAAAACTGGCGTCGCATTCATTTTGCCACATGTATTTTTGCTCTCAGTCACGATGGTATAGAGTGTGGTAACATTTTTTAGCTACATTTAATCTTAATATTAGCCATGATAACAACTGTGGCTAATTGTGTCCACTGCATAAAAAAAAATATTAATTCTGAATCAATTTTGAATGCTGAGCCAAAGAAAATAAAAATCAAATGAATAATGTAGGAAAAATACTACAATATATTTGTATACAAATATCAGCTACGTACAAGTATGTATTTTGCAACACGAGAACTTCCATCCAATTGTAAGAAATAAAAAATGGAATTTACAGACGAGGACCAAACTAAATAATTACTCAGCAAAAAAGCCAAAACGCGTACAGGTTGTTAAAAGAATTAAATCACAAACAATGTCAGAGGAGCCATCCAAGGGGCAAAAACAACATAGTACCTGCATCAACAAAAAAATTAAAATAAAACAAAAAAATTAAAACCTAAACACTACAACAAAATTGCTCTTTCAAAATATGATAAAAACCGTGGCTAAATGAGTTCTTCACTGTTTGAAAAACCGTGGCTAAAACGGGCGTTGCATTATTTTAACCACGGTAATTTTTGCATTTAAGCACGGTTTATATGAGTGTGGTAACATTGAGTTAGCCACGATTTATGTTATATTAGCCACGTTATATTCGTGGCTAAACGATTTGGATCCCAGTGATAAAAAGTTTTATTTTGCCAGAGACATAACTGTGGCTAATTATAAGGAATTTTAAAAAATATATATATATTACAAAATTTTCCAATCATATAAAAAACAAATAATAAATATTGCATTTGATACTAGAACCAAGAACCAAATTAAGGGAGATAATCAAATAAAGTGGAGTTTACAATTTAACACAATATATTTTTTTTTCTACTCATATGAGTAAATCAAGTTTTTTGCATAATTTTTCAAAATTCATATTCTTTTCCATTTCATATAAGCTAAAGGAGTTTCCTTTACCAGCAAAAGAAGCTAATCAAGTTTTCCACTTACATTATTTAAGAGAAATAATTGCCAAATAAAGCTAAAATCATAAGTTTGTGATTGTCACAAGACATCTATACAAAATATTAACTTCATTGTTCAACTAAACAAAATATAACAACACAATTTTTAAATTTGTCTTCCAAGAATTGTTGTATGCATCCTATCTTTTTAATAAATGTTTTTCACCAAATCATACCTGTATAAAAAAAATTGACATACAGAACTTTAGAAGGAAATTCCTTTGCAAACTATTTAAAAAAATTAATTAAATTTAAGAAGACACAACACAGACTGAACAATTATAAATCTGCCCCCTATTCGTTGCTCAAGGTGCTGGTGTGCGAGGGAACAATGCAATTGACATACGAAAGGACCAAAAATACATGCATTTATCTAATTATGTTAGTCATTATTATTTCGCAATTTAATTATAAAATAATAAAATTTAGTTTAGTTTAATCAAATCAAAAACTAATTTGCGCAGGTAATGAGAAGTCAGCAAAAAATTTAGTTTATATAAAATTTGTGAACATTAAAATGAAACAGCAAAATATGTTAAGCAGCATCTAACATCATTGACAATGACTTGAACATATATTCTAGACTTATCATTATGAAGTTAAGCTTAAGATATACCATAATTGGTGTGAGCTCCGCTGGTTTTGTTTGGATTCAAAGAAATGGAGAAGAAAAAGTAACAAAGAAAACAACATTAGTGATTTAAAGCCTAGTAATGGAAAGAGAAAAAAAGGTAAACATTTGAGAACTCCAGGTCCAAGATTTCATTACCATCCAATGTCGTTTTTCATAACATTGGTTCCATTTACTGTGGATACACCAGGGTAACCAACGAGCCGCATTACCCAAAATGGATCCCCAGCTCTCTGACCTTCAAATTCATCTGTGGATTTTGTGGCCTGCATATGTACCGCAAAATGAAAGAGGATCAAAAGACATGCATTAGTTCCTATAAACATAAGCATTATCTTAATACAAGAAGACTTTTCTACTGAGTGTAAATACTTCCAAGTCCCAAGTGCAATCAGTCAAATGCTAGGATATTAGTCACAGGCCAGAGAGAGTGCCAATCATATTAAAGTTAAAATGTTGATTCCCTCTTAATACTCTGACTTAACTTAACGCTAAGTTAAAATCTTGTAAATTATATTAAAATCTTGTCAATTCTGTAATTTGACTTAACGCTCTTAGTTGATTCCCTCTTAATGCAAATTAAAATGTTGGAGATATCATTAAAAAATAGTAGTTTTACAACTTATAATGAGACTACACTGTGTTGAAAAGTTTATATTTATTATCTTTAAAGTTATGCAATGGTTTGGAGCTTTATATCATGACTTAATTCTTTGCTTTCATATTATTTCAACATCCTAGTCCAATGAACAAACTTTGACAAGATTTATATACATGAAGAAAATCTCTACCCTTCAAGCAAGAGATGCATTTTAGTTTGTAAAGTTTTCGTTCAGTTATCTTTCTATCCACCTCTGTTTCAAGTTAATTGCTTTAGAACTTGTGTGATTTAGACACTTCCACATAGTAACATGCTAAATACTTTTACAGATAACAGAGACTTTTTCGACCACATGCAGCCAAAAAGAGTTAGAAAAATAACAAAGTTAAAAACCGTATTAAATTGGGAACTGGAATCACCACGTTTCCTTTGTTAGTATACAACTGAAATCAAACATTCTACCAACAATGCAGTGTTAAGATCAAATCAAACAGAGAACAACAAAGTAATAGCGAATACATAACTTCTTTTTGGGCGGGAGAGAGTTCTTCCAATTGGGAATAATGCAAGAAGAAACTTCAAACCCTCATCATGAGCAGAAAGAGGTTGCTTCCAACCTGGATTGCAATCGCATTCAAAGAAGAAAGTGTTATTCTTAGAAGGCTTGCATATTCCCTTTCCATATCCCACTTATTTGCAGACGTTCTCTGAACTCAACTCAAGTTTAAAACAAACAGGAAGTTAAAAGCAAATTGAGAAATCTAAAGAAACAATATCATTAAAAGGAAAAAAGAAAAAAAAAACTTGAGAAGACCCAGGAGAAAAAAAGTCACTCAACCTCAAGCCAGTAAATCAAAACCTCCAAATACAGAATCCCAATAAAGAAACTAATAAAAGCACATGACAGACGATTAGAAAAGAAAAAAATAGCTACAGTGGTACTGGTAGGTAATCTATTAGTCTTTTCAAACCAACAAAATGAAAAAGGAAAATAACTAAATTAATATTAATAATAACTAAAGGAAAATAACTCAATGATTCATATACATAATATTTGATAGAGAGAAAATTAAATTAAAGATAGGAAAAACAAGTCCAATAGTACATGCTTATGGTTCTTCAATGGGGTTAAAATATATAATTGTGTAAGATTGGTAAATATTTATGATTTGTAAGCATTTAATCTAAAGATATTGGACTAAGAATAAAATGTCATGCATACCTCATTCTTCAGCTCCTCTACTTCAATGGAAGATGTAATTATTTTGCCAGTGATAATTTCAAGTAGAATAACACCCAACTGATAGATATCTTCCTTTTCTGCATCATTGGTACCATTATGATTGGGGGCACTTTGTTCTTTAAGTGTGCTGTCAAGACCTCCCTAAAAATTTACAAAAGCAGATTTCATTGAGGTTAGTGACTTAAAGTAAGGTACTGAATGCAAATACTACTGAGAGAATCAGTCAAATTACATATAATATGTTCTAACCTTGGAAGTGAACGAAATGTTGTATCCACTAACTTTTGCATTGAGACTATCATCCAACAGAATGTTTTCAATCTTTATATTGTTGCCAAATAAGCCAGGATTAACTCCAGTGTGTAAGAATTGGATTCCTCTTGCAATGCCTGTGATGATTGTCATTCTTTGTGGCCATTTCAACATTTCCTTTTTTTCTCCTATCTGTTAAATTGAAATTTCGTGTTATATATTTTGGTTATTCAAATCTTAGCTTTTGAAGTTAATTCAAATCTTTACATTTACATGTAAGATAATCCCTCAACGACACGTTTGGGATGTGTTCAAATACAATGAATATTGTGCTTGTCGTTTGGGGATGTGTTCAAATACAATCCCTCAACCAAAGGCCTCAGCGTCACAATCCTTAAACATCAATCAAAATGCAATAACATACGAGCATCTTTCAACGGTTTATCATCCTTGCCTCAACGTCCTTATTTTTCCAGTGTTGCTTTCAACTCCTTGAAAAGTGAGATTCCACTTGTGTCAATGGCGCTCACAGCTGACAATTTCAAAGAGATTTGATACGTATTACTTTTCTGATTGGATGATTAGTTTGCATGGTATGAAGGTAGATTAAATGTATGTTGAGTAATATGCTAGAACATAGATTGTCAAAATAATGCTGGGCAAACAACTCAAACCTACTTCATTGTATGAAAATATTCAGTCTTACAAGTGATTATGTACTCCTCGACTTGCTAATTAAGTGAGATAGGTACACACATGGAACTTAGATGGACATGTATGTTGAAAATGAAGGTGAGAACTCCCATAGGTTACAGCATGAATTTGATTATTCCAGGACAACAATACAATAATAAGTTGTAAAGAACATAAACAGAAAAGTTTTATCATTAGAAAAATGATCCCCAGCAATTATGAATCAAGTGACAGAGAACAACAGAGCTTATATGAGAGATTCCACCTTTGCTGTATCAAAAACTCATGAAGTTACCTGACATTTACAGGATTAAAAATCGAAGGCTTGAGTTTTCCTTTATGTTGTCTTCTTCGTCTTCAATCTATCGTAATGTCCTAATATGACATGCCAATGGTTGAGTAACTGAGGAAGCAATATCAATGTACCAAAATAAAATTTACAAAATAAAATTTTCTAAGCTGAAACTAACCTCTCGTTGAGATATGTGATGTTAGCAAAGTTGATGGGAGCTCCAATGCTTAATATAAGAAAACCAGGTATTCTTACATCTTCCTTATATTGGTGAAGATCTCTATATATGTCTGTCCCTGGTATGTAAAGATAAAAATGTCTAGGGTCAAGAAGAGATACCCTTAAAAATGTCAGAGCTACCAAGAAAACTATCCAAGACTTCAATAAATAAGTAATATCAATATTGGGTTCCACACAAACTTATTGGATTTAAACCTACATATTAATTGCTTATTTATAATAAATTTAGGAACTATTATCCCAAGATATCTTGAATTCTAATATTTTTATTTAAAAAAAAATGAAATAACTCAATAAAAAATCACATGCCTAAATTGCTAGTTCTAATTTTTCCCCTTAAGCCAAACCCCGTCATTTTACAATGCAATGAACACTAAGTGACCTTCAGGATTTGCATTACTCCATTGAAAAATTGGTTCAACGACCTAAACGTTCTCATCCCCAACTCCTCTTTAGAAGTTTTTTGTATAAATTAGTAGGCAAAATTAAAAAGGATAGAGTACATCTTATCATTTTAACACGGAAATTTGGGACACATCGTACAGTTGCAATTACTATCATCACAGGAAAAAAAAGGATCGGCATCTACAATATAATAAAGAAAAACTATAGTATTGCTGGACATATGAGATTAGATCAGAATTCAAATGTACACAGTTCCTTACTCGCGACAAGATAGATATACTCTAATCACCGCGTACAATAGTTTTTTCTTCTCTCATATCTAGGTCCTACCTCATTTTGGACTCCATTTCCTAGACGTCATATTTAGTGTAACTTATTTCAATTTTAAAAAACTTATATAATAAAAATGTTTAAGAGAAAAATAAAATAAAATATCTTAAAATAAACTAAATTTTGATAAATTATAAGCCATCTCTTATCATTGTGTTGCAAAAAAAAAAGTTAACAAAAACACATGAAACAATTACAAGCAGCATGGTAACTTATTGAAGTATTTGAATTTTTAAAAAATACAAGAAGACCCCTGAATTAATCACTAGGATAATTATTAATTACTTAGGTATGCTATTAGGATTGGCCTTGTATAGAAATTCTACTATTATTCCATTAAGCCCTCTGTGCTACTATATATATTATTTGAAAGGTGAAAAAGGAAAAAAGAAACTGCTATAGTCCCAACGTCAATTACAGTAAATTTGTGCTAATAATAGTAAATGATATCCATCACTTGGAAAGTTATAAATCGTTCACTTGGCCAAAACATAAATGGTGCAGTGACAGAAGCTCTTAAGTTATTGTGGCTGCTAAAATAGACACTCGTGTAGATTTTCTCAATAGAATAGCATGCAAATCGAATAAGAATGGGAGATGATAGGAGAAAAGAAGAAAGAAAGAAAAGATAGCAAAACAAATAAAAGTTGTAATAAGAACGAATGAGTTTTACATTATGAATGACCGCACACATTATTGCAGATAAATGACCACCATTTTAGATAAATTCATTAGGACATTTAATCGAACACCTAAATTGCAAGAAAATTAAAGGATAAGAAGCATACCTGAAATAGTATATCTGAAAATTTTCAAATTAGAAGATCACTTGAAGGTGCAGAGAGAGCTTCCTAAATTTTCACATATTTCCCTCTTTTAAAACCAAATATGCAAAATCAAAATCAGAGAAAAAAAATTACGTGTATAGAACCACTAAATTAGTGATTTGAAAAAGAAAAAAAAAACATCACACATAGAACGAAAATAGTAAGAATGTGAATAGGAAATAAAAAAGAAAGAAAGAAAAGGAATCTAAGAGATCAAAGATGGGCACTCACGCATCGCTGTTGATCCAAGATTGAGTAACGCAAAGAACAAAGTAATTTGAGAATAAACGCTTTCCAAATCAAGTATTCCAACTAGCAGAGATATAGATTCATGCATTGCGCACTCTAATCTCAATCTCTTTTGGCCATAATCTCTATGCTCGAGTGTATCGGTGATTTGTTGAATAAATGGAGGGAGAGACGCAGTGTTATTTTTAATTTTTTGTATAGTGGTGCGTTGCAAAATTTGGGGTTTTTAAACCATGGCTAAAGTATCGTGGGCAAATAGCATTTTTCTTGTAGTGAAAGTTGCATAATAACTAATAAGCCCCAATAAATGAAAGCTAACATTTATTCTAGATTAGGCGAATCAAATTAACACTGCTATTCTATGCATAAGAAAGAGAGAGAGAGAGAGAGAGAGAGAGAGAGAGAGAGAGAGAGAGAGAGAGAGTATATGAACTACTTTACACGCTTAGAAGGTTCCACAAACACTGCCTCCTCATCTTCTTCAGAAACCAATATTGTAAGAACCCGCACCGATAATTAAGGAATTTAATTAAATAAATATGAGTTTAATGAGATAATTCCATAAATAACCCTAATAATTATAAGAAGACTTGAATAATTATAGAAAGTAATTAATAATGCTGAAAGTCGCTTTTCGAACAAAAAATGCAGATATCGATTCTGCTTCACGATATAAGTGCGTACCGATGAAGTATCCCGGAAAATTATAATAAGTGTATGAATATTCCTGGGATAATATTTAGGACTAGGATGTCAAGTTTGAAGTCAAAATAATGAGAACTGGCGTCAGGATTGATACCGGCTACGTAAAAGCGCGTACCGGCAAAATGCTGCGAAAAATAAAATAAAAATATGATAAATGATATGCATTCAGCATATGAGTAAATCTAAGCCAAAAAGAGAAAGAATATTGATTAAATCTTAAGCAAAAAGACAATAATGACTGTTGATCTGTTAAAATCTCAATCAGATATTGCACAACTGATTTTGTGTTGATTTTGTAGGAAAAACAAACAAACTGGAGCTAAAAAGGAAAATGCAAAAACTGAAGCCCACGCTGAGAGCGTGGGAATGACGTTGATAGCTTGAAAGGAGATTTTCACACAGAAACTACCACGCTACTAGCGTAGGACTGACGCTAGTAGCGCAAGAGATCCAAATCAAGCAGAGACTACCTTGCTACTAGCGTGGGACTGACGCTAGTAGCGCCAGACTTTCCATAAATCCACGCTTGCAGCGTGGTAACCACGCTAGTTGCGTGGTGCTCCAGTATTGTGAACAAAACTCCCACGCTCACAGCGTGGGAACTACGCTAGTAGCGTGGGAGGTGCGGAAATTCAATATTAATTCTGATCAGTATCAGCAGAAGATTAAAAGAAAGTTTTAAATGAAGATTCAATCAAGATTTCTACACTAGGTCAAAAACTCTATAAATAGAGATTCAGACCTCAAGAGGAGAAAACACTTTTGCACAGAGAGAGATTGACGGAGGCAGAACGCAGAGCAAGCTTCTTCTCCAATTTTCTGGTTTTTATTTATTTATGAATTTTTTTCAATACTTTGAATTGTCAGACATGAATATGTCTAGCTAGTTTTCATTATTGTGGTAAGGGTCACAACCCTTGATGTGAACCTTGTATTTTGGTTAAGTTTATGGTTAATTATTTCAATTGAATTTATTTTACTCTGTTCTTCATACATAATTCTTTTAGAATTCGCGACTCTATTAGGATTGCGAGGGTTAGGGTTTTTAATAGGAATATTGGGATTCTAATTCCTGACAAAGGGTAAGATAATTGTTCATGTATGCACTAGGGATAGGCTATATGAACTGCAAACGTGAAAAATTCACTGGGCTTAAAGATTAACTTGAAAAGGGATTTCTAAGGATTAGGATTCCAACAGGGTTAATAAGGTTAAGATCACTAAGGGATTAAGGCTTAACTAATTAATTATAGATGGTGAATTGTTTGATCAATTGGGTAATTAAATATAAATATTAATCAATATTACAAGGTGGGGATCGGAAAGGTGTTGGCGTCCTTTACTGCAATAGTTTTCTGTACAATATTTTCCCAAATCTCAATCCCTTTTGCTTTAAGTATTCAACTTCTCTTGAATTGTTCACGAAATATTGAATAATTTACAATTGTTACAAACACCATTACATTCAAATCAATTCTTCTTCATCCAATAAGAAAGGAAAAGTTAAATTTAAATTTGGTGCCTCAATCCTCGTGACACGATATTCTTACTCACTTTTTATTACTTGGTACGATCGGTGCACTTGCCGATTCTATGCAATAAGTTTTTGGTGCCGTTGCCGGGGATTGACTACGCCTAATTTATTTTTAACTTTTGAATTTCTTGATTGGATTCTGTTTTGTTACTAATCTTTTTGCTATAGTTTATGCGAGGTAAAGTAAATCGAGACACTTTACAGTTTGATCCAGAAATAGAGAAAACTGCAAAGAAGAATCGAAAGCTAGCCAAGCAAAGAAAGCAGAAAGAATCCTCGAGTTCTGAACCAAAAACAGAACTCGAGATGGCCGCAAATAATCAACCACCTCCTGCGGAGGAATTGATGGAGTCAATCTTGGCTCCAATGTTTACACGGCCGAATTCAAGCATCATCAGACCACCAGTCAACGCCAATAATTTTGACAATCAGCCAGCACTGATAAACTTGGTTGAGAAAAATCCATTTGGCGGAGAAGACTATGAAGACCCCCATGATTTCATGGATAGATTTCTTAGAATTTTTGATACAACGAAGCATAATGGGGTGTCCGACGATGCAATTAGACTCAGACTATTCCCTTTTGCTATAACAGGGAAAGCTCTGAGATGGTTGGATAAGCAAGCTCCCAACAGCATCACAACGTGGGATGATTTGGCTGCTAAATTCTTTGCAGAGCACTTCTCCAGGGAAAAACACAACAAGTTGGTGAATGAGATCACCAACTTCACTCAACATCCGGGAGAAACTTTATGTGCAGCTTTGACCAGGTTCCAAGAATTTATCAGGAAGTGTCCCCTGTATGATTTGTCGGAAGGAAAGAAAGCCAGAATCTTCTATAACGGAATGACACCGGAATCTAGGATGGTGGTCAATGGTGCAGCTGGAGGAACCATAGCAAGGAAGACAGCAGCTGAAACGTTAGAGTTAATCGACAACATGGCAAGAGCTGATAATGCTTCAATGGAAGTTCAACCAGTTCAACCGAAGAAAGGACTTCTACAACTGGGAAGCAATGATGCTTCATTAGCGGAGCAAAAGGTGATTTTACAACAGTTGGCTAGTATGAATGCCAAGCTCGACAAGATGCAGATCTCAACATCCAAAGTTAATGCATTTAACTGTGAGTACTGCACGGAGTCACATGATACTAATGAGTGCCCTACACTCAATGGAGCTGAACCATTCCAAGTCAATGGAATTTGGTATGACCCAAGGCCACCACAAAATACCCAAAGTTACCAGAGGAATCAGAATGGCGGCCAAGGGAACAACTTTCAAAGGAGAAATCAAGGGGGAGGCTTGGATTATAAATCCAACAATTTTCTGCAACCTCCTCCTCTGCCACATAAAGAGCCATCCGAATTGGAGAAAGCGATGATACAACTTTTCAAGACCACTAATGATTACATAAATGAGACAAGAGCCTACCAGAAGAACCAAGATGCATCCATCAGAAACTTGGAGACTCAAATAGGCTAACTTTCAAGACAACTTGCTGAGAGGAGTCAAGGAACAATCCCTAGTGATACCATTGTGAATCCAAGGGAGCACTGCAATGCCATCACTACTAAAAGTGAGGAGCTAGAAAAAGAGGAAGTTGAAGCTTCTACAGGTAAGAGTGAGAACACTCAAGAAAGCAAAGAAAAAGCAAAAGAACAACCTCCTGCAGTTCAAAAGAAGCAATGAGATTTCTCACGTTTTGAGAAACCTCCATATCCTATGAAGCTCAAACAACATGAACAAAGGAAGCAATTTTCTAAATTTTTAGATGTTTTTAAGAAATTGCAAATTAACATTCCTTTTGCAGAAGCTCTGGAGCAAATGCCTTCGTATACCAAATTCTTGAAGGAGATATTATCTAAGAAGCGGAAGCTCACAGAGGATGAACCTGTCACATTAACAGAGGAGTGCAGTGTAATCCTGCAGAAAAACATACCTCCAAAGTTGAAGGATCCAGGAAGCTTCAGTATTCCATGCACCATTGGCAAGACAACTATAGAGAGAGTCTTATGTGATCTCGGTGCCAGCGTTAATGTGATGCCATTAACCCTGATGAAGAAGCTGGGAATTGATGAAGTCAAGCCAACTAGGATGAATGTTCAACTGGCCGACCGCTCAACAAAGCAAGCATATGGTATTGTGGAAGATGTGCTAGTCAAGGTAGACAAATTTCTAATTCCTGTTGATTTTGTCATCCTTGACATTGATGAAGATGCCAGTGTGCCTATGATCTTCGGGAGGCCATTCTTAGCAACCTCAGGAGCTTTAATCGATGTACCTAAGGGTGAATTGATAATGTGCGTGGATGGAGAGCAAGCAATATTCAAGGTATTCATATATGAAGCTCCTCCATTGCCTTCTTCTCAACCTAAGAATCAAGTCAATTACATTGCGGAGAAAAAGGCTGAGGAAGGGAAAAAGAAAGAAGTCCATCAGCAGCATAAAGAAAGCAAGCCAAAGGTTAAGTCATCAATGGTAGCATGCTTCCAACCACCATAAATCAAAAGGGGTATGTCAGGCTCGTGAAGTTAAACAAGCGCTAATTGGGAGGCAACCCAATAGTTGTTTTTCTGTTTTTATTTTATTTATTTTATTTTCTTAGGATAGTTTAATTTTTAATAAGTCAAGTAAGTGGTGAATTAGTGACCATATGAAAAAAATTTAAATCTGGGAATTGGCGCTGTCAGCGCTAATTTGGCGCTAGTAGCGCCACAAGACCAAAAGAAACAGTGAGTTCCACGCTCACAGCGTGGTAACCACGCCATCAACGTGGAAACCTCACGAAGTACTCGTGCCAATAGCGTGAATTCCACGCTGTGAGCGCCATCAAACAAAATGAGGCAGTGAGTTCCAAGCTCATAACGTGAATTCCACGTTGTGAGCGCCAGTTCACTTCACCATGATACTTACTTTGACATTTCATTTTGCTGTTTTGAGTATTTTGTGGGATATTGGTTGGATTATTTCTCTTTATACAGTACGCTTTGATGATTATTCTATTTTACTGTTTAACAAGTGTGTGTGTGTGTGTGTGTGTGTGTTCCACCTGGCAGAATTAGCTTCTTCGACCAGTATAGTTGTTGTTGAGGACAGCAACGTTCTAAATTTGGGAATTGTCACATACTGTATGCGAGGCTTGCTAAATACTTCGGAACTACACCACAGAAAGGAAGTCTAAACAGAAATTTTTCTGAAAAAGGGGAGATATTTTAACCTTCAATTTTTATTTTTATTTTTTTTATTTGCTGTTTTTAGTTAGATTCAATTTTTAAAGAAAAAGAGAAATTTTTTTAGAAAATTCCTAAACAAGCAGTCCCAGAGTGTTCTAAGTTTACGCAGTAAGTAATTAGATTGAGTTAGATGAAGCATGATATCTGTGAGCAATTAATTGTTTTAATCTGAGAATGATGACTGCTCGTTTTTATAACTGTTTTGGTGAAATTTTTGATAATGCTTGATATGAAACTTTGAATTGCGATTCTAGTTGAATTATAACTGTGAGGATTTGAGGCTAAACAGAAATTTTTCTTTTTGAGAGGCCTCACTGTAGTAGTTTCTAGAACTTGAACTGTTTCTCTGGCTTGCATGCATTACTGAAATGATAAGGGCATTTTTATTCTTGTTAACTTAGAGCCAAACAGCCTACCTATAAGAATTCCCATTGTTAAGCCCTTTCGAGCCTTAAACCAGTTCATTCAAACCTGATAAAAATTACTTAATCCTGTTCCTCTCGACACACCTTGAGAGATTGAATGCTGATCAAAGAAGAAAGTCAAGTTACTTCTCAAAGGAAAGATAAGTAGTTGAAAAAGGAAACAAAAGACTGGTTTGCAAAATATGGCAAAAAATTTAGAAAAAGGAAAAAAAGAAAATTTGCATCTCAAAAGAGAAAAGAAAGAAAACATCTGCAAACAAGGAAAGAAAAGGGTAGTGAAGAAAAGGAAAGAATCCCAAGTCTGTAAAATGAGGCAGAATGAAGAAGAGAAGGAAGTATTGTTAAAATCAGTGTTTCAATCTCTCCAATCAGCTTCTGACCAAAAGATTCTCACCCCCAAACCAGGCCATGTTACAACCTATCAAAGACCTTTTGATCAGTCTGTGCATGTCAAATGGATTCCTTAATCTTAGGAATTGAGAATAAGTTCAAGCCTATGGAATTACTACTACACTGATGGATAAGTGTGAAACCCTCAAACACTGAGCGTGATGAGAGTGCAATTAAACTGTGAGGAATGTTCAAGTTAGGATTTCAATTCTTGATATAACTGAAAAGCACTGTTGGAAGTTTTAAACAGAGAGTTATACATGCATAGCAGTCTGAATTCTTAAGATGTTGTGTTCCATGTTTTCACAGAATTATTCTTTGCTGATAACTTTAATCTATTACATTGCTGAGGACAACAAAGTTCAATAAATCCTAAAAAAATGGCTAGGTTCAGAATCTTAAATTTTAGATTAAAATGATAAGCGGAGTTATTAGTACTAATATCAGCGATTAATTAAGTGAACCTATTTATACTTAGTGGCACAAAGCCCTAGGTCAGACTTCTTATTTCTACGTAGTCTTTATTTTCTGAGTTGAGTGCTCCACCTTGGCTGCCACCACCCTCTCTTCTTGGAAGCTTGAAACTTGCATGAAAACCAACCAAGTCATCACCTTTCCATTGATTTCTCTCCATTGGCCTTACAAACACTGAATGGTTGGCATTGTGAGTGAGTTAGGTGTTCCATTTTTTAGGGTTAAGCTGCTGTTTAGGGGAGGTTTGAGGCTGACTTCATTGTTTGGGGTTGATGGAACCATTTTCATGTCATTGGAGGCTTCAAGAAGCCATTTTGAATGACAAAGGACCAAGCTTGTAGTGCTTTTTCGTGTCCTTGCAAAATCAGAACCTTGGAGCTGTGTTGGAGGCTCCAAGTCAGTGTCTTTTCTGAGTTTTCAAGTCCTAAGGTGAGCCATGATCATCCTTTTTGAAATTTCCATTATTTGAGCTTGTGTGAGTCTTTAAAAAAAGAAACTTGAACTATTTGGGTTAAAGGATGATAATTTATGCTTAAAAGATGTTAATGAACTTCTGTTTGTGGAGTTATTGGACTCTAAATCACGTTTGGACCCTTAAAATCGAGTTTATGCAGAAACTACACGAGTTTCTGCATTCTGTCTGAAAAGTATTCGAATACTTTTCGTGAAGTATTTGGATACTTGCATGGTATTCGAATACTTATCGAAAAGTATTGGGATACTTTTCTGGGAATGGAAGTATTCGAATACTTTAGTGAAAGTATTGGGATACTTCCTGGTATTCGAATACCTTAGTAAAAGTATTGGAATACTTTTGGTATTCGAATACTTATCGTGGAGTATTGGGATACTTAGTGGTATTCAGATACTTTAGTGAAAGTATTGGGATACTTAGTTGTATTCAGATACTTTAGTGAAAGTATTAGGATACTTAGTGGTATTGGGATACTTTAGTGAAAGTATTGGGATACTTTTCTGGGAATAAAAGTATTCGAATACTTATCGAGGAGTATTCGAATACTTTTGGCAGAATAAGCCTACAATAAATTTTAACAAGTTAGGAAGCCTCAATACAATATAGGACGTTAATGAATCAGTGTAGGCTTGTCCTAGAGATGTTCAAGTGATAAAAATGAAATAACCCATTATCAAGGCTTTGGGAGAACCCGATGATCATTAAACAAAAAAGGAAATGTTGTCCTTATGAAATGGAACTCTAGACTATGAATATTAATGATATTTCTAACATAAACAGACTGTGTTTTTGTTGTTTGGTGAACTGTGGATTGCTATTTGGACTTTTGAGCTTGAGTACACTACTTGACAAGTAAGCTTCCGTGTCCTCGGTTTTGCCTATTGTTGGTTCCACCATATCCCATGGGGGGATGGTTTATATGCATGATGTTGTTTTTATGAAATGTTGATTTATTGAAATGCTATTGAGTTGTTATGTGTAAATGCCTTATGATATGTATGTGTTGTTCCACCTAGACGGTAAGCATGAGTATGTAGCGTCATACAATATGGTGATTCTGTGGGTGGGTGCAAGTAGCGTCTTGCACTACTGTAGGTTGTAGGCGTATGTAATTCCTACATGTTCTCTGGCCAGTAGGATTCTGACACAAATGACATGATTATATGCTGTATTGCACAGATTTGGGAACTTATCTTATTATACTGCTTTTGAACGTATATTGCACATGTAAGTGAGCATGGGGTGAAGAGATCCTTGAGGACCCCTTGTCTTACTGAGATTTCTTTTTAGAGATCTCACCCCACGTTTGGGGCACATTTTCAGGTTCAGGTACCTCGGGAGTTGATACCTCTAGCGACAGGAGGTCGGAGCTGAGTTGAGATATATGATGTTGTGCTTTTATGCCTGGCTGTTTATCATGATTTATTGTCATTATGTTGTTGTTTGAATTTAGACTATGTTGGGCTTTGTTGCCTAATTTATTGA